AGATGAGACCAATGAATTCCCACTGAGTTTAATCCTCCCTCTGTCCTAAGCTGGCAGTTTATTACATGTATGCGCATACCCCGGTCGACTGTACTCCATAATGCAATTCATTCTCCATTGATTTTTTTCCTTGCCCCGTTTCCACACAGAGAAAAGGTCATATACAGTAGCTCATCACATTAACCTGTGTGAGCTTTCATGTTTTTGAATTACTGAGAACACTGTCATGATGAGGGGGAAAAAACGGGGGGGGGGGGGGGGGGAGGAAATGAAATATAAAGAAAAAGAAAATAGAGAGAAAAAAAGGCCTTTTTATGAGTCTCTACATTTTGTATATCTGGGCAATTCCAACATTATGAAAGGATGTGTATAATGTCCACGAATAAGCCAAATAACCATGATATGTAATTGATGATTCCGAGAAATGATCCAGAACTCCTATTCTGTAATCTCCTTGACTATTATTAGATGATGGATGTGTAAGATATATGAGAAATACATTTTCATGTTTATTACATAAGGCAAAAAAAAGTCTCCGGTTTCTGGTATGGAGCTTGCCCCAAAAGTGGTGTAGCATCGCGGCTTTTTTTGGTTTTGTTACTTTTTTTATCTTCAAATGTCGGCTGATGACTGCAAATGGTGCCAGACTTAATTTAGTGCAAAATATATGGGAGTCCAGAGAGGCCACATTAAAGCTTATACTCGATTGTAACCCCATCTAAAAACACGTTAAAATTGTGCAGCAGCAGGATTCCAGTCAAACCAGTGAGTTTGGCGGTTTTGAGACATCATCTTACATTGAAAAAAAACCCTTTTTCATTTTGCCGACATGCATGGCTACGGTGACGCGCGCGCATACCAGAAACAGCAGACTTTTTGGGGGGCCTAATGTTGGAATTGCCTGTCTCTCTTTTGGAAATTTATCAGAAATTGCAATCAACATCATTTTTCAGAATACATGCATCTTTGCCACATGTCTTCTGACTAGAAAATTGGACAGAGAAAATGTAACTTTTTAGTGGAAGATGGGCCAAAAACTGTTGGTCTACCAACTTGGCTGTCAAGCCCAAATGCTGCAGTGGTTTGCCAATGTGTAATTTGGGGTTTTTTTTTGGGGGGGGAGGGGTTTGGGGAGGTGGAGGGGGGAGGCTTATGTCAGAATTCATTAAATGACATTGTTCATGCATTGCAGCTAGTGATCACATCCTGGGAATCTTGAACAATGGGGACTTCACTCAGATAAGATGCAGCAGTTTATCATACTGATGTACATGTATTATCAAATTCAATCGCACGGCTGAGCTGAAAAAATTAAATCTGAATTTCAAAACACTGGGAAAGTATGGAACAAATTAAAACAGTGTTCATGAAAACAAGTTTGATATTTTTCTCATGTGATACCGGTACATGATATACAATTAGCAACAAGGAGGTATTTTTGTCTAAGTCAAATTAATCAACTCATAAATTTTTTTAGCAATATTCCATCTCTCTCATTTTTATCAATATCCATTTCCTTGGTAAACTTGAACTGTTGTAAGGTCACCATTTCTGCAGGTACTCAATTATGCAAATTATCATGGAGCTGGTCATGGAACAGCGCACTTAGAATGTAAATTATTATGATATGCATACTATATCAATAACTTGTTTTCCTATTAAAAAATTAAGAATTAATTAGAAGTCTGTTCTATTCGACAAACTGTGCTGCCAGTTGAATTTTTTTCCAATGGCATAGATTGGATCCAATTTGTGGGAGGGTGTAAAGGGATTTGGGGAGGGGTCAGGGGGGGGGGGGAGGTCAGGAAGGAGGGAGGGGTGTACTTTTGCTGCTTTTGGTCAGAATACTCAGAGATATCTACATATGTATGTGTACATACTGGCTTTAAAGTCAGGCACAGACTTCCAAGAACTATTAACATGTACAGTGTACAACATTGCCTTATCAAGATTGTAGTTTTATTTTTCTGTCACACTGAAAGTTGATTGAATCTGGAGTGTTGAATTGTAACACTCAACAATTGATGCATTGCACAATGCAAATGACCAGATGTTTTCCATGTACAAATGAATATTTATTTGAATCCTGATGCAAATCTACCCTTTCCTATATTCTCAAACTAATCTCAATCATCCTTGATGGGATATGTGCAACATGCACTTCAGTTCTACATATGGTACATACCTGTGTACTGCATTATTCACGATGTTCATTCCAGGGAAAGACAAAAGTGAGAAATTCGGAATTTTGTGATGTTGAATACCCAAACCTACATGTAAGACAGCACCAAATTAAAGAGGATGACTTAAACAGACAGCTTAACTGATAAAAAACAGTCACAAAGCAAACTAGAGCTATGTCTGTTCGAACAGAACATAGGGCTTTTTCGCATTTTACAAATATTTACGTTATGTTTGTCCTTTTGCATTCACTTATTAGAGTGATTGATACAGGTTGTTCAAAATGCTTAGAATAATTCCAAAAATAAAGCTTTATCACATGACGTCACATGCCCTGCAATGACGTCATCTTGACGTCAGTGCACAACTGGTCATTGTGGTCTTGGTTTGTGCCAAGTTTGAAGTCAATCCGATAAAAGGAAGTGTAACATTTCTAAAGCAGAATATAATTTTAAATATTAAAAAAAATCCATAAAAAATCAACCGATGATGTCATCGTGACATCACACATTTTTCAAAATTGTGTCCATAGCTCTTACCTAACAAACATAATACAAAAAGAATTTAGCATGTTGCGTTTGTGAGATATGGCTTAAAGGTCCAAAAAGTCAAAAATTCATATAAAATAGCACGATGATGTCATCATGATGTCACCTCAATATTTACCTATAACACATCCCGGCCTACCTACATAACAAGTTTCAACCCAATCGGACTTACAGTTCTGTAGATAAAGGACTTCAAAATACGCACGTTTGTGATGACGTCACGTGACCCATGATGACGTAATCATGATGTCACTCTTCAGGACACAACTTGCTATAAGGACAGTGCACATACCAGTAGGCCCCCTATGCTTAATTTGAATGATGTATAACATTGATAAATTGCAAAAGTGGCGTGTACAAAATTGTGTACAAAGTCTATGGGTTTTTTTGTGGGAAAAAATGGATGCTACTGAGTACAGTCAAGCGGATGGGGCTGTCAATGTTCGAATAACTTAGCGTTCGATTATTTGAAACTTCGTTTGGCTGAATATTCGAAACTCGCCAATCAAGTTTACACATGCCAGCTGCAACTAAAGTTGTACGCAATTAAAGCGCGTCTGATAAAATTTGCATGCAGCGATTGATATAATGGGCTGCCAAGGGCTTTAACCTGCTAAAAGGATGAGAACAGCGAACCGTCATCAACAAAAAAGTTACTTCTGACAATAAACTGTTGCAACTGTACGGAGAAAATAACATCCAGAGTCGTGACGTACCTGTTTTTTTTTTTTCATTCGAAAAGTTGAACCGGTAAGAACCTAATGATGATCGAATATTGGGTATTTTCGGGACAGCCCTAAGGCTGGGAGTAGTAATGTGTTGTGAATTCCTGAAACTCCAAATGAAACTGTCAAACCTTGATGGATGTGTAGAAGTCTTCCCACCTAATCCCACCTCAATACATCACACAGAATTATTTACCCCTGTGAGATGCTAGCCCTGCATACTTTGCCTGTAGATAATTTTGTTGTTTATGCACCACAGAATTCTCATCAATCAGATAAAAAAAAATGTGTCGGTTGGAATTTTTTTAAGGGAGAGATTTGCTTTTGCTGGAGTCAGAGACTCCTATAAATCATTGAATTTATAGGTTAGATTAAATGGTGGGAAAGAGTTTACTTAAGAGCCCGTACGAACTTTTCTTGTGATATTAAAGACAGGGTAGTATTTGGTATGTAATGATGATCTCTTGGAAGAATTGTGGTTAGATTATTAATTAGATTATTGTCATAATTTTCAGAGCACAAGATCTGACTGTTCCACTGGTGGATCTTTGGGGGGGGGGGGGGGGGGTTGTGGCTGGGCCCACATTGGGGTCCCACAGGGGACATTTTAAAAAATAAAATTGATTTTTGTTTTTATTAGGCCACAAAAAAAGTCTCCGGTTTCTGGTATGCGGGCGCATCGCCGTAGCCATGCGCGTTGGCAAAATAAAAAAACACGTGTTTTTTAAACGTGTTTTTAGATGGGGTTACGATCGGGTATAAGCTTTATGTGGCCTCTCTGGGCTCCCATACATTTTGCACTAAATTTAGTCGGGCACCATTTGCAGTCATCAGCCGACATTTGAAGGAAAAAAAAGAAGAAAAAAAATTAGTCGGGCACCATTTGCAGTCAATCAGCCGCCATTTGAAGGGGGGGGGGGGGAAAAAAAAAAAAGCGTCGCCGCACCACTTCTGGGGCGAGACTTTTTTGGGGGGGTCTTATTTACTAGAAAAGTAGTGAAAACAACTTCTTAAAATCAGTACGCTTGTCAACTCTTCCCTTTCCCTCCGGGGATTTCTGAAAATTTAATTGAAATAACGAATAGAATAATTAGGAAAAGAGAGGCCCCTAGCATCAAATTAAAGGTCCCCCTACCCTTTTCCTTTTTACAATGGCAGGCAAGTCTAAACCTCTAATGACAAATCCTAGTTGGTGCACCACCGTCTTCATGCTCCTAAACTCCCCTCCCCCCCTTTAACAATCTGGTTCTGGATCTGATGTTGATGGACTGTTGTACAATTACACATTTCTTTGCGACTGTTACATGTACCTCCCTTGAATTTAGGTATTCTCATGATTGTCAGACTCAGAGCACACTGTGACAGTCATTGGAATGTCAAGTTGACACTGTTGGTTCTTCTCGCAACCGCTAATCTTGAAGAGTTGGTCGCTTCACACTGTGTGCACTATTAATTCTCCAAATTTACTTTAGGCTGCTGAAAATAATAACGAACACGTTTTTCCAGAGTTCTTAAAATTATGTGTATTATTTTTTTCTTCTTATAGGAAGGCCAAGGGTTGGAGCTTTCTCAAATCAATGACGTCCGCAAAGGCATTGCACCCAAGGTAAGTGAACTAATTGAAATGACCATTGTTTTACGTTGGTGAAATTAATTCCAGAAATGCCGAGGAAATGCAGATTAGAATGTGTCCCTCGGGGAACGAGCAAAACATCCATAGGGTAAGGAATGTGGGCGATTGTAAAGTAACGGGCCCTGTTGCTATAAGAGAACAGAAATCCACTTTTAATTTATTGGACTCACAAAACTAGTTAGCCACATTTACATGTATAACCAACAGGAGTTTTGTAGATAGAGGGCAGGGTTTGGATTTTTTTGAGCTAAAGTTTGGGGGTAAAACGACGGTGAAGACGACAACACGAAAATAAAGATGGCGATTACTGTGACGCACTCTGAATACATGTACACAAAATCACGCTGAGAACATATAAAACATCTAAAGGAATGTCGTGATCGAAACATACCGTACGTGTATAATCGTTGGTTTGCAATTGAAAGCGCAGTATTAAGAGAGCGGTTCAAGCTGTTGCCAGATTCATCCTTGCTTGAACTTGGCTGTGCATGTCTCATGAACCTTGCTCTTTGTGTACAGAGTTTGTTTTTTCCTTCTTTTCATCTTACTCTTAAGTGATGCATCTTTCCAAAGAAAGACCTTGGCCTTTAGGTACCGGGTATGTTCACCAGATGATTTCATTAGTGTGCTCGGAATAGACTTTTCATCGGAAATTTGATCATCTTACGTAAACTCGGTGTAAAATGCAGCTTTCTCTCGGTGCACAACTCTTGTGTAAATTACATGTAATTGTGCATCTTGAGATAACGTAGACATTTTACAGCGCTTTTAGTAAAGACCATATACATGTGAGACCAAATTTAACGAAGAGTTTTATAATTTAGACTGCACTTAAGGAATCAAATTTAAAAAAAAATTCCATCTTATTGTAACCCATTGCACTTAAGGAGTTGGGGCTAGTGGGTCTTTAGGGGTAGAAGCTCTTGTGTACAAAGTCTATGGAGAGTCAAGACAATTCTAAGTATTTCTTAACTAAATTGGAAATGTTTCTCAGTCCCAGATTCATGTCTTTTCAACAATTTGCAATTAATGACCTTTATTGAGATGATATATGAGGAAAAAAAGTGGCGTCAAGTTGCAACATTCTTTCCAAAGAGAACTTTAAAATAAAATTACTAGGAAAATTGCAAGGTGAAAGAAAACAGTTACATTCAAATCTTTTTAAGAAGTTTTGGGCTGAATGACCATTTATTTTTTTTACACAAGTTTTGGAAATCAATTTTCCACTTCTGTCCTGTCCTGTCATTATGAATATGCATTATGTCAGTCCAGCACGAACAAGCACAATGTAGGTCAGGGTTTGCACCGCTGTCCCGGCCCCGCGTGACGCCAGCAATCAGGGTCACCCGGTACCGGACCGGCGAGCTGCTGTCATGGTTACCATTGCCGGGGCAACAGGGATCCCTGTCATCTATGGGATGATCCCCCCTCTGTGGTTATCGCCGATGCTTCTTCTGCCTCGCATGGCAGCACTTTTGAGCTCAATTGAACCCCATGGGTCCTGGCGTGCCAGTGATCTGATTCAACACATTATACGTGTATACATGTATACATTTCGTACATCAACGACACAAGTACATGTGCCATGTGTACATTTCTCTGGAAAAGTCTTGCGCTTGGGATGCAATCTTTGAAAGTCAGTCGCAAGTGGAAAAGAGATTTTCAGGCACCCGACCTCCAAATCTGGGACCCAGTTACACGGAGATGCTAATTACGGAATATCTGTTGAATAGCAAGAAATTGTTTGCTGAGCAAAGACAGGTTACCAAGTTGAATGTCGCAGGTTGTCTACAGCTTTTAACTGGTTCTCAAATGAATTTTACTAAGAACATGGTGTTTGTACTTAATAATAATAAACCAGTCTTGTAAAGCGCATTCCGTCAATAAGACCCCAATGCGCTGTACAGGCATAATAACATGTACAACAAGAGTAAATCTTTAAAAATTACAAGTAATGCATAAAAACACGGCATATATAAACAAAAACCAACACAAATTGACGAGAATGGTTGGCTGGAGAAATGCTCAAAGTCAAAGGATAAGCAGATGGGTTTTTGAGTAGAGTCTTGAACAGTTCCAGTGATTTGGCATTTCTGAAATGAGTTGGAAGCCGGTTTCAGAGTTCGGGAGCTGTATATGAGAATGATCGCTGGCCATACGTTACAGTGTACGCAGTTCGTCGTTGTACTTCAGAGTTGAACCTGTCAATGTTATCGCTATGAGCTCAACACTTTTGTCTTTGAACATTGAATGGTCTTGGGCTACATACTTTCTGAAATGTCCGGCTGAAAGCCAGGTGCATGTACAATGTAAGAAGATAGGCAGGGGACCACTAACGTCAGCTGGCCCCTGGATTGGTCTCTCAATTCTTTGTGAAAGACATTATTTATTAAAAAGTGGAGAAAGAAAGGGGGAGAAAAAAAGATCAGTGGCGATGTTTACACCTGGTGATGGTGAAAGTCACATCTCCTGGAAAGACAGTTCAGGGGCCGAAAATTGTACTCGTGTTTTGTTAGTGTTTGCTGCTCATGTTGCAGGAGACGTAAACAAATTCATCTTTGATGAGGTAGGAAGTTAATCCATCCTTTCAGCGCTTTCTCCTTAAGGATGTAAGAAGCTGTTGCCTGATTGGGATTGAGGTAAATTGTTACTTGTGGAGATGACAACCAGATGGGGTCCTGAGTAGTCTACACACCCCTGGGAGTAAAGTGGGAGGGGAAAAGGGAGGGTGGAGAAGAATGGATGATAGGAAGAAGCATCGTGTTGCTTAGCAGCAAGCAGATGGAAGGTGTACATTGTATGTATCCACCACAGTTAGAGTACATCTGTACTTTGGCCGACCATACTGGTTTGTTATTGTCAAGCAAACATCCACATAAGGGAATAAATATGTGCTTGGCCAGTATTAAAGCTATAGTCCATCATTTGCAGCCATCCGAAAAGTAACCGGTGTAATTATTGTTGAAAAACATACTTGGTTGAAAGATAGTAAGGGGACTAACCTCCCTGAGAAATTATTCTTTCTGGCAAGCTGTCATTTTGAAGTAATCAACGAAAGAAGGCCTTTCCAAAGGTGCGTCTTAAGACGCACCGTAGGAAAATTTAAATAAGTAGTTCGTTTTGTTATTCGGCGAAGCGCGTGCAAGCATTGGCACGACGCACACGCGCGCGCAGTTGCTATAATTCGTCGGATCAGTACGCGACATCGCGTATAGCTGCAATCGGCTCAGTGAGAACGCGTCTCGGACGCTGAATTCAGGCCCAATTCAAAACATGTTTCAGCAACTTTTGATTTGAAATGAAATCCTAGAATGCTGTTTTTCTCGAAATATACAGCTGAAGCTGAGCTAAAACTTCATCAGGTTAGTTGTTCAGTATCCTTCATTAGATTTTGAACACTTTTGTTGCTTCAAACGAACAAAATGCACAAATTACAAATGATGGACTATACCTTTAAACAAGTAGGCCTATGTTTATAAACCAGCTAGGGGCCTGGACGCGGAAGGCTCTGGCCATTATCCACATCCAGTCCCCTAGCCGGTTTTAAACGTACTTGTTTAATACCGGCCAAGCACTTATTAATTCACAATAAATACCTTCTGTTCAAAAAGTCGAAACAACTAAAACAATTCACAAATTTCCAATGATTTTGTTTATATGTCATGTTTTGTGTAACACCCCTCTGGCCATGTCGATGGTATGTGCCTCGCGTGCAGTGCTAAAAATCTCCTTAGATGTATGTGGAAATTGGTGCGTACAGCGTGTACTGTGCGATGTGGCGCAGAACGCAGCTGTGTTTAACCAGCGGTTTAAAACCACCTATGTGATGTGCTCTCGACCAATAGGAATTGGTAAACTGTCTCAAATATTTATGAATAAGTCTTCAAACTTTTCCATTTCAACAAGGAGGTACATCACATACATGGAGGTACTTTGTTTCAGCTGCTTTTCTTTTCAGAAGCCAAAAATTTATCATTATGTAATGTACATGTATGCCCTTTCGTTCATTCATACTTGTTCAAACTTTGTGCCTGCAACGATACAGGTAGCTCCTGCTTTGTAGAAACGCTTGAGAAAAAGAGTCCTTCAAATTTGATTTTTGTTTTGAGAGGTTTACTGCCGACAGACAAGACTGTTTGTTTAAATGGCCATCAGCAATGCTGCTCTGCCCAGTAGGTCAAGGAACAGGGAGCGTATTGCCATTAACTCCCATGCATCTCAATCATAAAATAGTCTTCCTGCAGCCCTACTAAGACAAATTAATCAAAGAGAGAAAAGGTTGCACAGTACTCCTGACATTTAGCAGACTGTCAGTCCCGGTGTTTGCACTGTCCTGGGATCAATTTCTTGCAGCTGCTAAGCAGAGAATATTACTTAGCAAATATGTGAGGCGTTCTGGCAATATGAAACGGAACTGGACACAGGCTGTAGTGGAGAAAAATGAAAAAAAGAAAAGAATGACATGCGTTGAATTTTTTTTGATTTTCAAATTTATAGACTATATTTGTAATCTTGATAGGTCTACTACATATATTTAAAAGAAAAAGATACAAATCCTGGAATAAAAGAATATTTAAGGGAGAACAATTAAAATCTTAAGTTCCATTTTCATGTCGGCAAAACTCAAAACTATAACCTTTTTCTCAGTATTTTACTTTTTTGACATGTCGATAAATGCCAACTTTAAACAGCCGTAACTTGTCAACAGAATGTCCGATTGAAGTAGGCCTACAACAAACAGTATTGTAAGTTGAATTTTATTCTTTTTTTTCTAATACATGGACATGTACAGGCTCTGCAAACCCTCATTTTGACCTCTGCCCAGTTCTGTCTCATTTTGCCAGAACGCCTCACATTAATGTTGTATTATTAAGTGTTTTTATTCAGAATATTGAAAGATAAAAACTTGTGAGGGCAATATGGTTATTTGCATATCTGCACCATTTGGCTGCAGAGAAGAACAGATTGGAACAGGAAGTTAAAGAGACAGATGTTTTTGCAGGTAGGAACAGTTGTCAGATGGTTAAAAATCTGGCGTCAGTATGCCTGCCCTCGGCTCATATTCTAAATAGTGAACAGTGCTTGCATTGCAAATTTCATGCAGTAAATAGGAGATAAAAAGGTGCATGTATACTTGTACATGTACAAAAATGTACATGATGTATGCTACATGTCAAATATGACACCAAAGATCGGGGCCCAATTTCATGGCTCTGCTAACCACAGTATGCCGTGCTTACGATGACCATTTTGTGCTAACCGCACTAGCAGAAACATCCCGTGCTAACCCTGTAAGCACAGAATCCTTAGTTACGGGATGTATGTACATGTATGCATGCGAAGAAGCTAGAATTCCTTGCTAACCTATGAAATACGCTTACCATAAGTACAGAATTTTCTGCTACAGTAAGCAGGGACTTTTCACTAATGGTAAGAGCCATGAAATTGGGCCATGGACTTCATGCATGTTTGGGTAATATACTAAAGTCTCACATAAAGTCTTGAGAAAATAAAAACTTGTCCTTCTGTGGACAGATACTTTATTAGAGTATCATATGTGGACGTGAATTTAAAAAAATAAAATGGAATGCCA